TTTTTGTTTGTTTGTGTATTTGTATTTGTGCGTTTAGGTGGGGAGGGTAAGGTTGGGAAAGTGGTGGACATTCGTGGCTGGGACACGGAGTCTGGCCGCAGCGTGGCCAGTGTCACCTGGTCCAATGGCACCACCAATGTCTACCGAATGGGCCACAAAGGCAAAGTGGACCTGAAGTACGTGTCGGATGGCCAAGGAGGCTTCTACTACAAAGATCACCTACCTAAACTTGGTCAGTAAGATGTATTGTTTCTATTACAAAAATATTCATCTTTCCACACTTTGTCCTTCTTTTGGGATTTTATGTACTGGACCAACGCAAAGTAGCAGTAGGAAAATAATAGATGATTTTCAATTTACAAATTTACTTGTATCTTTATTTACCAATGTTCAGGTCTTGTCAGCAAATTCTGGATCCAGTTTTGGACCAGCTTTGCAACGAACATTTATTTTAGTAATTTACTATTCTCTGTTTTAAGCTTCTCCACAACCCTGTTCCCGGCTGCTGATATGTTAGTTTTAATCTGTAGAAACTCATCAGTCTTCCATCAGCTGCGTTTGTCCTTGGATGACATTTAATACAAGTCACTAAGCAGCTTTTTTATTTTTTTTTGAGGATATTTGCAGTAAATTTCAACAACAAAATGTTTTAGTTTGTTTTAGTTAGCGTCATTATGTTGGAAACTTTTACATTTTCAGAAATGGCTTTACAAGGCAAAACTGTCTGCCCAAACAAAACTTTTGACTTCGATTCAAGACCTGACAGCGTAGAAACATTAAGTCCAATATTTAAATGATTATCCTTCTGAATCTGTCCCCCCGAGCATTGATGGTGTCTTTTTGCCGATTCCTCCCCATCCAGGTGAGCATGCGGAGCTCCAGCGCCAGGAGAGCGCTGATGGCCACTCTTTTCAGCAGGGAGACAAAGTCAAATGTCTACTGGAGGTGGAGATCTTGCGGCAGATGCAGGAAGGACACGGAGGGTGGAATCCCAAAATGGCAGAGGTACGAGACACATCCCATCCACCTCATGAGAACAGGCACCTTGGTTTCCTCGGAATGTAAAGTGCAAAATGCACTTCTTTTTGGTTTCTAGTTGGTTTGTCCTGTGCACATATTCAGTGAGAATGCAGTCACAAGTCCAGCGTGTACGCCCGCGTGACTCGCAGAGACTTTATGTTATATAAGTGGTTCAGGTGGATGCCCTAATAAAGTGAAGGCAAACGGAGCATTCATGTTTCCAGCCACAGCTGCCAAAGGCAACATTGAGGTCAGAGCAGCTGTGGGGGAACCTGGAGTGACACAACCTATTTATGTTTGCAGTACATTTGTCGGATCGGGACGGTTCATAGAATAACCGACAGAGGAGACGTCCGGGTCCAGTACAGCAACAACATCCGCTGGACCTTCCACCCAGGAGCTCTCACCAAAGTACGGAATCACAGAAAACCTGATCACATCTTCAATATGATTTAAATTTAGCTCCCCAGATTTATTCATGTGTTTTCCCCCTTCCGACAGGTGAACACCTTTGGAGTTGGCGAACTGGTTAAAGTTCTGGATGAGCTGGAAAATGTGAAGAGACTTCAGGCTGGCCACGGAGAGTGGACGGACAGCATGACTCCTGTATGCTAAGTTTTACTTTCTATCTAACTCTAGTTTTATATGCTTTGATTTCTGGGCTAGTAAAACGAAGAACTAAAGTTTACACAGATCGTCTTGAGACTTTGAGTTCCTATTAATGCAGTCTTCCTTTAAAAAAGAGAAAGATGCTTAATTGAATTAAATTATTTGGGGAAAAGTCCATATTCTGATTTAAAAAAAAAAAAAAAAGTTTCCTTTGGGCTATATATGATCACAACTTTTATTTGTGAAAGTGTTGCTTGCCTTTTTATAACTTTAACTTGATCATCACCCCATGTCTGACTTACCTCACTCATACAACTAAAATGCACCGATCATAATTTTGTGGCTGATTTCTTTGAACTTCTAGAACCAACTTCAACAGATAGATTTTTTTTTTTCCATTATTTTTTAAGAACAGTAACTATAAAAAGTGTTATACATTTATATCTAGCCTTTCTGTTGTGCTTATTTATGTTAGCATCAGGGAGAGGCTGTACAGCAAGACTTTTTTATTTTAAAATACGTTAGCATATTAAGCTGTTAGCTTCTTATTTTGGAGGTAAATGAGGTTTGTGCATCACCAAACCACCTTAATATGTATGTTTTCTCTGGACAATAAAAATACTTTCTGATTTCAAAAAGGCTGCAAACATTTCAAAATCTAGTATGTTCTCAGAGAGATGGATAGAACAGTAGACACTTTGCTGTAAGACCTTCAACCTTACTGTTATCTACTAAAAGTCTATTTCTCTCACTATGCCTTAAACCACTGATAGGTCTGGACATGTCATAAAAATGCAACTCCATTTAAATAGCTTCTCACATTGCTCTTACTCTGCTTTGTAAAACCTTTCTGATCCTGTATCCAAATTAGAAATGGAACATCTCTAAATTACAACACGAATAGTAACCAGACTACATTCTTCAGGATGTTTGTTAACTTGGTGCCTTTTGTCTGTAGGTGCTTGGCCAGGTGGGAAAGGTGCTGAAAGTTTACGCTGACGGTGACCTGCGGGTGGCGTTTGGAGGTCAGACGTGGACGTTCAACCCGGCGTGCCTTATGGCCCAGCCTGCAGAGGTTGATGCCAACCTCATGACGGCCGAGAACCCCAATGAATCTGGAAGTAAGGCCTCTGCGGGAATCCAGGGGGCCCGACTCAAACGCTATGCTCTTTCAGTCCTCTCCAGCCTTCCTCCTAGCTCCATCTCTGCTTTTGCATGCTTCCTCACACAGGCTGCCAATAAGGGCCTTCTCTTTTTCCTTTTATTTTTTTTTTTTCCATTAATGTGCGAACAAGGTGTCTGTTTGTTTAAGCGCTCTTCCCCGTAGCATGTTACGGTCCAGTGTGCTGACAGCAAGACGCTTTGGCAGCTCAGCAGACATTTGTCATCATGTCTGAAGTTCTCAGCAGCCTCTTGATGATGGCATACTCTGTGTTTATGTTCGCCTCACTGGATGGAAAGGTGCTAACATGCCAACGTGTGAGTGTGTGTGTGTGGTCAGATTCACTTTGCATGGAAGGGACATTTTGACTCATTCCTTTGGTTTTGCTCAGTTCTGACAGATTCATTAACCGTTGCAGCATTCAGATTTTGCGCCCCCCCTCTCCGAACATCCTTTGCGGTTAATGTTTGGATTAAAGAAACTAACATTTTCCCTCCTTCTCGTGTCTTCCCTTCCCACAACCTCTCCTTGCTCCTCTTCCTCTATCTTTTCAGGTACCGTCATCTCCGTGCTGGAGAAGCTGCTGTCTCAGTCCACGGAGCAGGACAACCCGGGCCGGCTCGTCATCGAGGCAGCCCACGGGAGTGCCAACAAGGTGCGGGAGTTGGTGCAGAAGTATCCCGACAAGGTTAGCGCAACATGCCTTCGCTTTGCTGCAGTCTGGGGTGTGACTCATTGATTCGAGAGACAAAACTGCGAGTTGATGTGCAGACAGATTCTTCTTTTTTTTTTTTTTTGCATTCTGATTATTTTTCACATTTTCCTCTTTTTGTTACGTGTGTTTTCTAAAGCAGAAAGAAATGCAGAAAACTTCTGCACACAATAATGACAAAGTAGAAATGATCTGTTGGAGTTTTTTGTTGTAAATTAATCAAACAATCTAAAAACGACTGAAATAAATCATACATACAACCGTTAATAGCTGTTTATACTTATCCTTCAATACTTTGTTGATATATTGACTTTAGTGGTGGAGTGCATTAGCATTAGCAATGATTGACCTTCTGGATGGTCCCGTCTCCACAAGAGAACTCTGGATCTACTCCCATTGTGACCACAAGACTTTTGCCTTCTAGGTCAAAAGTCTCATAATTTCGTTATTTTTTTAATTTTTTATTTGGTTAATTCAATTTATGTCATTGTGTTAACAATGTCACTTGTAAACTTTTCCCCATATTTGGCATTTGTGTATAGTAGTAATTGTAAAATCTCAATCCAGACATCTAAAAAAGCATGAAAGGGAAGTATAACTCAAAGCCTTTCATATGTTTTTGTGATAAAAAGATAAGGAACATCGGAAATGATGCCAGAAAGCACAGATTGATCAGGATTACCAGCATGTTTAGCCGAGTTCCCCAAAGCTTTGCTTGGAAACAGTCATACAAATTTAGGAAAATGCTAACCACTGCTTTTTAAAAAAATTTTTACGTTATGGATCTTCTACTCCGGGCCTCAAGGCCCTCAAGGGCCTCAAGGCCCTCAAGGCCCTCAAGGCCCTCAAGGGCCTCAAGGGCCGGTGTCCTGCGGCGTTAAGATGTGTCTCAGAGACCCATCTAAAGATCACGGGACATTAATGGCCCTTGATGACTGGATTTGAAAACCCCAGTTTTAAAACCATATCTTCTGGTGTATATAAGTGCCTTTCTAATGAAATACAGTATACACTTTGTTTGTGATATAGCTGTTTTTTTATTTTATTTTATATATATATATATATATTTTTTTTTTACCTTTTTCATACCTTTACACTTGCTTCACAAAGAAATGACTACACCATTGCTGTGTTTTATGTGCAGGGGAAATTCTTTCTAAGGATTAAATGAACCTCGTAAATGGAGCTCTGTGACCTTCAGTCGGACAGAACGTGTTGTTTCCCAGTGATTTGGGGAAAAAAACAGACCTTTTCCACATAACCCATGTGCAGTACTTATAAACTGAGGCTACAAAAAAATTTAACAATCTGAACTCTTGTTTGAGGAGAAACACGTTAAACATGCTGCATCCTGACAGACGTCTCTTTATACTGATTCTTAAATCTTTATGCCTATATTTTTTTTACAAATAAAATTTATTGTTATTTATTGTTTTTATACCTTCGAGTATTTTGGAAAGCGTGTCTAGGTACGGTGCCTCGTAAAACTATCGACACCCCATGGAAGTTTTTAACGTTTTTTTCACATTAAAGCCACCTCAACATTTGGAGCGGTTAAACACAAGTTTATTACACACTTATAAATTATGCATTTTAGTTTCTCTGCTACTTCTAGAGCTGCAATTAATGATTATTTTATTTATTAATGTATCAATTATTCTCATGATTAATTGATTAATCAGATAAAAAAAATCACACATTCTACAGATTTTTCATTAAACCCTATTAGCCTTTTTTAAATACAGTTTTAGAAATGCATAAAAAAATGGAAATAAACAAATAAAGAAAATGAACATTTTCTTAAATTTCTACACTAGTATTCCTTTAGTAAATCTGAACCAGGTGAAGCTAAAACTTTAGTACTGGAGGAGCTTTGGCTAAAACATATTTATAGACATTTTTATCTTAAAACAAAAAATCTATATATTTTTGTACAGCTTCGGCTTAATTACTGTTCTGAATATGTTGTTTTCTTCACCTTTGTTTAAGTCTGTATACTAATTTAGTTGACAACTTTTTTTTTTTCCTAATTTATTCATCCGATTGTTTCAGCTCTAATTGCTTCAAACCTGTGTAAAGCACGTTGAAGTTTGTTGTTATTAAAGTGGAAAGGTTTTAAGTTGGACGAACACTTTTGCTGCTGTGTTTGTTGTTCCCCCTCGGTTCCGTTCTGCCATGACTGCACCGCCTGGTGGGATTATCTCCCGTCACGTGTATGATGAGCACGGTTGTCCATACGCAGATTATTTCCTGCCAGTGTTTGATCAGCTCTGTTGGTGCGCGCTGCGTCTCTGCTTCGGATGAATCTCCAGCTGTGTCTGTGCTCCTGCCAGGTGGATATCAAGAACCAAGGCAAGACGGCTCTGCAGGTCGCCGCTCACCAAGGCCACACAGAGGTGGTGAAGACCCTCCTGCAGGCCAACAGCTCCGTCGAGGTCAAAGACGAAGATGGAGACACGGCTTTACACTACACTGCCTTCGGGTGAGGGCGCATTCATGTTCCAGTCCTGCATTCGTTTGATTAAATGTTTTGATTAGGGCTGCAGCCGACAATCATTCTAGTCATCGATTATTCCGTCGACTGTTCTGATGATTAATTGATTAATCAAATAATAAAAAAAAGTTGGCAGAATTTTTTTCCGTATACTCCAGTTAACAGTTAATCGATTACTAATTTAGTTCACAATTAATTCCGTATTTAATAAAAAAAAAAAAAAGAATACTTGCCAATAAAAAGGATGTATAATTTACCTGCATTGGTTTGTTTTGACTCAGTAACCAGGCTGAGATTGCACGGCTGCTGCTGAGCAAAGGGGCGAATGTCAACGTACTGAACAACTCCATGTGCACAGCGCTCCACATCGCTGTCAACAAGGGCTTCACTGACGTGGTGCGAGTGCTGACTGAACATGCGGCTGACATCAATCTCCAGGTGAGCGGGTGCAGAGCGCTTACCTCTCCAGCATTAACAACAATATGTTGTACTATACATGCAGGCCGTGGAAACAAAAAAACACCCTCGTCACAATTAGTCAATTTATTACATAATAAATTAAAATGAGCTCAATAATTTCTGCTCTGGCAATTAATATTTTATTTTCATGATAATCCATTTTATTTATGGTTTGGTTATTTGTGGTTTTTATTTCCATCTTACTTATTGGATTTGTTTTTTTTTTTTATTTTGTTTATTTGAAATGTCTCCAAGTCCGAGTGCTGATTTCTTTACAAAATCAAAGTGTCTTATTATGCCATTATCATTATATTACTTGAAAATGTTCTCAAACCAACAATATTGTCATTTATCACAATCGTTAGTGGGACAATTTATTATCCAGCAAAAAATTTTATTGTGACATGCCCAACTCTAATTGATATATATTTGTTTTTTACCACTTTTGGTGGTTGTTTCAACTTTGACTTATTGAAATAGTGACAGGATTGTTGAAATATCTTGGGAAGAAATTCAAAATGTTGTATCATCAGACATCGTAGTCATGGATACAGAGATCCTACTCTGTCTGGACAAGTTTTGGATATAGATTACCTATTTTTCAACTGACCATGGGTGAATTCATCTGTCCTCTGTCGTTCATCCATTTTTAATCTTTCTCTTGTTCCTTTTGAATTCCGTAGAAATGAAAAAAATTGTTGGAACTCTGTGTATAAGTATATTTATTTATAGATTTTCTGACCCGGTGTTACTGTCTCATTAAGATAATGTATTTGTTTGAACAGAGTTTTTTCAGATGGTCTAACATGCCTGCAGCCTGGCCCTGATTTGCCTAACTAACTCAGTTTATTCTGCCTGAATGGTTGGCTACTCAACTAAAAACATGTCAGCCTGGAGTGTGTTTGTGTTTTATCTGTGACAAATGTGCATATGGTCTATTTCTCTGTCTGCTTTTGCACTGACTTGGAAAATTATTTCATGGAAGGTATTCAGAGGTCTTCAGACTAAAGCAAACTTTTGCTTTTGATTATTGTTGAACAGCATCCAGGTTCGGTTTTCTTTTAACTTATGCAACATCTTTACTTACCGTGCTACCTGTCAACTTACTCTGTTAGGATTCATATGGGGACACGCCGCTCCATGATGCCATTGCCAAGGATTTCCGCAGCATCATTGAGATCCTGGTCGTAGTGCCCAACATTGACTTCACCCAGCAGAACCACAGAGGCTTCAACCTGCTTCACCACGCCGCCCTCAAAGGAAACAAACTGTAAGTGGGAATCGCATACAAAGATTAAACTCTGAAATCACTGAGCACTGAAAATCAGGGGAAATCAAAGCTAATCAGTTTAAGCAGATAAGAATCAAATAATAGTGTAATTTCTACATGTCGAGTCCCTTCCATCTATCTTTTCTATTAGGAAAATGCAGAGTAATTTTTATGCAGCTACACTTTCCACATAGTTCTGTATCCTGCTCTTTTGCAGCATCATTAGTTTGAATGCATGCGTCTCATGTTTGGAAATGATGTTTTTTTTTGTTGTTTTTTTTTCTGTGTGTGTGGGAATCTCTCCTGTGAGTTCAAATGAGGATCCCAAGGTCAATTCTCAACGCTATCTGTTACAGATAGCTTGCAGAGAGCTCGTCTCCCACACAGTTGTTGCTGCTGTCAGCAGGCTGGGAGTCAATATCTCTCAGAAATGCAGCAATCTGTATTTTTTTCTTTTGTCTCTCTATGCACACACACTTGTACTCAAAATTGTTCCCAGACTATATGCAGTAACCTCACCGTTTCGCGGGGACAAATCAGATAAAACATTCCAGGAATCCAAACAAGCTCTCATCACAGTCTCGGAGAGCGTTTCACAGGAAGGACAAGCTTACTGCCTACTTTTCTGACATCAGTATATATTGTAAATACCAGGGAAAAGTATTTGTCGCCTTTTTTCTTTGTCGTCTTTCTTTTTTTTTTTGTCTTTTTTGTCAGCTTGCTGTAGTTAACAGAATCATAAATTCTGCTTCGTGCAAGAACATTATGAAGGAGAATATCTAAATATCAACTCAAGGTTGTTGAGTGGCCCAGTCAATGTCTGGACTTAAGTATCACTATGCTGTGGCACGACCTTGTGCAAGCTTTTTTTCTAATGGCTGAAAACTCTCCAATGTAGCAGAATCGTTATTTAATCAAAAACATTTAAGACAAACAAGTAAAAACAGAAGATGAAAAGGTTCACATCATTTTTAATAGCATCAGATGCATGTTAGTAGAGAATCCAAGAGAACGATACTTAAATAATTAGCTCATATTAATACAACCCATTAAGATCTTCTTGATATGTATGTTGCGATATTGATAAATTATGATATATTTTGCAGCCTCAATCTGCCACGAAAAATGTACAGACAGTAGAGACACCATGGACTTCTCTGTTTTTCATATCTGCTCTCAAAGCAGCCAGCCCTCACTTCATCTGTGTGTGTATGTGAGTGTGTGTGACTACTGCTATACGAAACAATAAACCAGGTATCTGAATGTTCTTCTCTCTGTGGTTAGTCACGCAGGATAATGCCATACCTTCTTGTCCCCGTTGCTTAAAAGCTTGTCCCTGAAAGGTGCAATTAGTGTATCTTATTTGTGCGAGGTGTGTATCGCGGCGTTCTCTGTAAACATGCCATTAGCGGTAAAGTGAATTCCTGTAATTTTAGCACAGCTGATAATTTATTAGGTTTAGAGAAATCTAGTGAAACATGCTACTTTCATAATAAAAACGTGTGAATGATATAAACAGATTATGAACGATAAAGAAAGCCACTTTCTTTATACTTAATAAAATTAATTTCTTTATGCTTGCCTAAATTTCTTTATGCTTGGCTATATGTGACCAGTGTCTGACACTTCCACCAAGTGTCTTTGATACTGGTCACTTATAGGCTCCTTAGTTTTCTGTCTATCTGGCACAGAGTGTAAATCTCAATCACAAACTGGGCATAAAACTGACCAGACAGGAAGAGACTTGGTGGATTACTCACAGTGTGTTTTCACAATGACAAGGTCTCATCCAGACATGATATAACTGTTCTACTTGTTTCTGATTTTGATGTTTAATGTCCACTCTGAGCACGTTGGGTCCAGTCAGCACCCTCGTTTCCACTACGTCTCTTCATAAATGCTATTAAAATACTTGAAAAACACAACTATTTATAGTCCTGAATAGTACATAATACTGATTGGAGACTGAGAATCAATTGTAAATGATGCCCCCAAAGTCCACCATATGTCGGTGTCAGCAATATTGTATTCATGCCATGTGCATAGAGCAAAATATGCCAAAGTAATGGACACAAAGAGAAGCAAACTTAAGCTAATAATGACAAAGATAATCATGGAAACAATAAAACAAAAATAGAAATGGAATAAACACTGCAAAGTAAAAAAAAAAAAACTGTAAAATGAAATGAAATGTAAAAAGAGAAAATGTGAAGCCAAATGATCATGGTGGGTTTTTAAATGTACCCTAATGTCTATTGTTCATATAGATTGGTGAGCTATTCCATCATTTATAGCACTTATAAATAGATGTACGTTCTTAAAAACACAGGAAGTCAGTTTAGTGATGATAAGCCTCTGCTTATAGTTCCTCTTAATATTCAAATAGCAAAATATTGTACCTTTTGCAAGCAATGAAGTAATGACTGATCTAAGTTGACATACTGAGAATTAGTCATCTGAACGTGTTGACATAAAGGTATGGATACTTCCTTCGGTGTCTTCAGGCAGTAAAGCAAATCCTTACACTGGCAAAAAGTGAAATCTGGAGAAGAGCGAGTTTGACACCTGAACAGGTTTGATTTTATGAATTTAAAGGAGCCATCAAGAAATACAAGATATATCAAGGTCCTTAATCAAGGAGCGATTGTACGAAGTAAATAGTTAAAGTAGGGAAAGTTCCCTCTTCAAATGGACATAATTTTAAAAAAAAATGTAATCATTGAAATTAAGGACATTTAGCAGATGGATTTAGATGACATGTGCAAAGCTCTGCATTTTGTATAAACTTAGAAATCCAAAGGTTATGGGATAGATTAGAGATCTTGGATTAGTTGAGACTTAAAGACTTGGTTTTGGTCAGTTTTATGCAAAAGAAGCCCTTTTTTATGCTCAATAATCTGGAAAAGCATGTATGAGAACTTCATAGTTTTTAAACATTTAACATTTAGCAAAACTACAGAACTTTATGTTGAGATAGAGTTCCAAAAGTATGATTTTTGTTTTGCGCTCTTTGATCCATCCTATTAATCCTATTAGTGAAGCATTAAATATTTTTGTTTTGTTGCTTAAGAACTTTGTTGTTTTCTTTTTCTTTTTCTGTCACTTTTAAACTTGTCCATGTGCAGCACCACTGAAAATTTGCAACCCGGAGACGTCGAAGATGAAACCTTCCTTGCATGACTTTTAACATTTTTACAATGCTCTAAGGATCTTTAAATCCTTATTTGGGCCTGTCTTACTTCCTTAGAACTTATGTTTGCCTGTTGCTGTAAATTGTGCTTTATTGTGCAGACACAGGAGATTCCTGTGTCTGCCATGAAGTGCAGACACAGGAATCTCCTGTGTCTGCACTTCATGGCAGCGTTCTGATCTACCATAAAATTTCCTTTCCAGATATAACAAAACTATATCATGGAAAGTCGTCCATGGTTCTATAAAAATAGGTCCAGGAAAAAAGAAAGTAAGCATAGAAAAATAAAAGCATCACTTGGATTTAACTTTAGCCTGAATGTCTTCTCATGAAGGAGTTGGTTAGAAACTTCTGAAGTTTTGATAAACATTGGAAATGGATAATGTCCTAAACATTTAAATTAGAAACTTTTGTTGCCATCAAGTAATTTTTTGCTAAAGTTTCAGTTTTGACTTTAGTTTAAACATGTTCTAGTCAGATTTCTGGACAAATTCATTTTAGTAGGTTTTAGTAATGATTTTGCATATTAAAATTGCTTTTATGTCTTCCTGATTTCTTTTTAAGACCTGTAATAACTAAAAATGATTTTCAAACTGTCTCTGAAGAGTCAGAGGTGATGAGACAGAGTGAAGAGTGCAAGCATTATTAAGTAAGGATTTTTCTATTTAAAACAAAGATTTACTATTTTAAACTCCCATCAGCGAGGGCACTGTATAATATTGAGGATCACAATTAGTCTGACTATCATTAGCAAGCAAAGATATTAGTCTCTGTCAGTGATTCCTGTAGGTAATTCATATTTCCAAATACAAGCTGTTTTATGAGAAATGATAAAAGGACAGAGACGGGGAAAAAAAAGCAAAGCAATTTTTTAGGCAATAAGTTCAGCCTTTCTATTTCTGGGTAAATTTTCTTCTTAACTATTTTGACATTGGTATCAGTGTTGTTACTGTGACCTAATAATATTTAGCTGTAGTGCGTTCACTGATTAAAAAAAAAAAAAAAAAAGTCAGATCTTTGCCTTTCCAAATGGCTGAAAATCGTCCGTTACTTTGTTCTTTCTTTGGACGTCTCTGATTACTTTTTTTTTCTATTTTATCTATTTTTATTTCTCTTTACACCTGTCATATTCTCTATGCATACCGCCTTGTCAAATCTGACCTAGTTAAAAAGATACGGACCCTCCTGATTGTTCTAAAAATATAATATCCATTCAGACCTGTGCAGGAGAGTTATATGTGCACAAAATAATAAGATAAAACTTGCAAGTGAGCAAGAACCGTGTGGGAGAACTGGGACCTCTGCAGGCAGTTCTTTAATTAATGTTCAGTCTGCTCTGGCACGAGTCGTGTGTTCAGGTCTTTGAGTTTAGGCTGCGGTCTTCAGCCTTCATTCAGCCTGACACCAGCTGCTTCACGCAATGAAGAGAGACATGATTTACAGTGTTCAGGAATGACTCTCTTTACTGGTTCATTCATGGATCATCAAACGTCCTTCACTGCACTGACGCTGTCACTTGTGTGCATGTGTGTATACATTACATTTAAAGGTCAAGACTCATTCAGTTTAAGTGATTTATCTTCGGTAGGTTAGTTAACTCTGTATTTTTATTTTTTTATTCTGTGTTTCTACTCAGTTTGGAAAGAGTCATAACACATAGGTTTGTAACAAAATCAGACTTGATAACTCTTAGACCTTGTTGGCTACACGGGTAGCCAACAGAATATCTCCGCCGTGTCTTTTAAAAACTAATATTGTGCACACAGAGTCCGTTTCAGAAAAGTTTTCATCCACATGAACCCACCAATATAAAGAGGTGTTTTAAACATGCTAGACCCATAGGGGGCAGTGTGGTGCAAAGCTAAAATCTACATCAACTAATCTGATTGCTTCAAAACAACCACAACTTCCTGTTGGGAATTAAAAATGGCGCCAGGAGGTTTATTTTTTTAAATGGCGTATTAGAATACAAAATTGATAAAAACATAACACAATGTTGATTGAGAATTACATCAAAGCAAGTACGGGGATGTGCTGCTGCATTGTTTGTGGCAGACTTTAATGAGCGCGACCCTAAATCTCAGTTTAGTTCACACGCAAACACAAATGCAGAGTTTTCTCAAATCTCCACTAGTCTGAGTTTTTATAAGTAATTAATTTTAGTAGTATTAAAAGTTTTGTGTGAATTAGTCATTTGTTGTTTACAGTGAGCTGTAGTAATGGATACAGAGTTCCTAACTCAGTCTAGAACAGTTTTGGACATAGATCACATATTTTCCAGATCCATCTCGATCGAGTCGTCCATAGATTGGTTGGTTGAATTTTGCAAGTTCCATATTTAAACCCAGTAGAAAAAACTGCCATCATCTGCACAGTAAACGTTTATGTCTACTCTTTAATACATTGACCTAAAAGGACTAGGAAAAACATGGGATTCACACTTACCCCAAACCAAAACAATCTGTTAATCTGTTGATGTTTTGTCTTGCACAGATAAGTTGAGGGTTTGTTCCAAAGTTATAAACTAAAGTTATTTCATTTTTTTTTTGTGACAGAAAGACAAAAATGGATTGTTTAGCAGTCTATGTATTTTGTTTGAGGAAATGGAAAAAGACAGCTATGTGCCAAGTTCACAGAGTAGCCTGGGAAAGGGAAGGAACAAGGCATGTTGCCAGATATCTTCTGAAGACGCAAATGGGTTAGATAATGGGATAACTGTTTATACTGGACAGGAGATGCCGCTCCGGTTTGACTTCATGACGTTTCTCCCTTTTATAACTTTACTTTTCTCTCTTTATCACTTCTTTTTCCATCTACGGTCAAATGTTTTCATAGCATGACAGTCAGGATTGATAATTTCACATAAATCTATAATATACACAAAATAAGTTTAGTTTAAACGTGACTCTGAATGGTTTTATTTGCATTTTGAATTTATTTTTGCTTTCACTGAGATTTGATCACATAGCAAAACGTCTCAAAATGTCAACTAGGTCTTACTGTGAAAGCAGAGAACTGAGGATGAGTTGGTACAGACGGGAGTGGTGACATTAAATAAAAAAAAAAACTGAGCAGTTTAATCTTTTGACTGTGATGTGGAAAGGAGGAGCTGAAGTAAAGGAGGCTCCGTCAGCGCTTGGACCATCAGCTTACAGATCTGCAATGCAGGTAGCTGTGACCTCTGGCGATGTCTTCGTTGGATGCCTTTAAATCACACAGGCGATCCAAGTCACATCTGACTGACTCTGTTACAAACGAACGAGTTCAGCCCACACCTCCTAACACATTCGCAGTGAGCAACTAATGAATAAGGAATTGTTATAATCGATTAATCATGTTAGTAAAAGCCGTTTCTACGGAGGTCTTTGCGCATCAGCCTGTGCTCTCCGCCCTTCTCCACGTTGTTCTTCGCTTTTGGAACGACGGACAGCTGGGTCGTCTGCCAGCGTGTGTGTGCCATCGGTGTTTCCACGCAGTTAAAATCCTGCAGAGGCAAGCAGTAAATTAAACCCAACTTCCTCCAGAAGTTTTGGTTCATGTCACACTAATGCCTCTGTGGTGATTTGCCAGCTTCCTGGGCGCTTGCTAAGGCTGTCGGCTTCAATTTCACATTTCATAAAGCCCACTCAGGCAGAGAGGAGAGAGTATTCAAACGGCGCAGCCCAGACTTGCACTGCATAAAATGCAAACAAAGTTGCAATGCTCTCATTTCACTGACCGAGGCCTCATTACGCTCTGCAATTAAACACAGACTGATATTCAGCGTAATGCGCCGTAACCTGACTAATCCTGATGGATGGCAATCTGGAAGGTTAATATTTGGGACTTTGTCTGGAGTCATGTTGAAGAGCATGCCGTCTGCTCAGATTGTCTTGTTAGCAGCTTTTGAAGCAGCTGCAGTTCTGCTCAGGCGTCATGAACTTGGACTTATAATAATGAGGGCTTCTTGTTATGAAAACTATGCGCTTTGTAAACGAATAATGAAAATACGCTCTGGTGCTTTTGTGGAAAAACAAAAAAAACAAACTCTCTGTTGAATCAAATGTATGCACAAAAGGTCATGAAATAAAGAAAATTCACCTGAAACTTCTCCTCTTCACAACAGTAAATGTCAGGTTATTTTATCGGGACTTTCAATGACGCAGACAAGCAGAAACTGGTGTTTCATTTTGTGGTGAAGGGAAAATTGTACACAGTCTTGTAAAGTGTTGACTAGAGATTGGTAGTAACTAGCTACATTTACTCAGTTACATTTTGTCAAGTATCTTTTAGAAAAAAAAAAAAACTATTAGGGGTATTTTTACTTTGCTGTTCTTCTTACTTTTATTTGAGTAATTTCATTATGAAGTACCGCTACTCTACCCCTAAACAGCTTTACTGAATAATGAACAGGCTTGTTTCAGCCAAACCTTCACCATAACACCAGACATAAACACCTGCAGGTTTTGTTAGTTTCGTATTGAAAGAAATTTGGAAAAACGTTTTTTTTTTTTTTTTTTTTTGCCTTATTTTGTAATTATGTTAATTATATGTATTATTTTCATTTTAATCTTTAAAATATCAAAATTTCCCACATAACTTTATTATTTTGTTTGTCAGATTTATGTAATTGTTAGATATTAAATAATTGCTGTTCTGATCAGTAATCAGTACTTAAGTAACCCTTTTACCAAATACTTTTTTACCCTTCAGTAATTTCTTAGATGGCTACTTTTTACTTTTACTTCAGTAAAACTATGTTGAAGTAGCTGAAGTACTGTTACTCTTACTTACAGTTTACTTACGTACAGTTTTTGGATACTCTGCTGTTGCTTTTAATACATACAAACCATGATAGACGTGGTTTTCTGGGTTTTTCCTCTGCCAGCTTAGAAACAGTTTCTAAATGGGTATAATCTGAGTTGTGCCTGGTCAAGTTGTCTGTTCATGTTGCCTTCAGGGCCACAGAAAAGATCCTGGGTCGAGCTCGACAGCTGGTGGACGTTAAAAAGGAAGACGGCTTCTCTGCCCTTCATCTGGCTGCTCTCAACAACCACAGAGACGTCGCCGAGGTCCTTATCAAGGAGGTGGGCCAGAAATAAAGAGCCTCTTTAGTATTCGTTTTTATTTATTTGTTTAAATCCACATTTGATGTAAAAAAAAAAAATTACATTTCATTCCTTTTTGTTTTGTTTTTTTTTGTTAGGGGCGCTGTGATGTCAATATCCGCAACAACCGAAACCAGTCACCGCTGCAGCTGGCCGTCACGCAGGGCCACACGGACCTGGTGCAGCTGCTGGTGGACGAGGGCGCCGACGTCAACATGGAGGACGAGGACGGTGACACGGCGATGCACGTGGCCCTGCTCCGCCCGCAGCTGGCCAACGTCATGCTCACCCCGTCAGCAGGGGGCAGCAGCACGGAGGAGGGCAGCGAGGGCTGCTCGTCCACGTCGCTCTACTGCAGGGTGAGGGCCGATGGGGAGTCTAAACATGGAGGGTGGGCTTGTTAAATGATAGATTACCGTTACCTTCTGCTTGGAATTACAAAGTCATTGCTGGACAGAAACTCATCCAAAGGCCTGAAATAATAAAGTTCAAAGTACTAGTTGCACTGACAGATTATTTCACTTATAACTTGTCCTTTTTCATACTAAAGAATTGTTGACTTAAAACAAGCTCCTTAAAAATGACATGTCAGTTAGTTTTCTTATTTTAAATGTACTGAAATATTTGCCCTAGAAAATACACCAAAGGTACTTAGTAATATTTTGTTTCTGAAGTGTAATATCTGAATCTATTTAAATAAACAAAATGACCAAGTACATAGTTAAGAACCTGAACTCACAGTTGCAAAACAAAGAGGTAAAAATAAACAAACAACCACTATATAAGTCAACATAAGCTAAATAAAGTAGTAAAGACCTAACCAGACGTTGCTGATCTACTCTAAAATAGAGACATCTATACCTTATAGTTTTAAAGAGATAAATATAGTCTCCAAGTGAGATTTAAAAAAAAAAAACATGCTCTGGGAAACGTATAACGGGAAACACAGTAAGGCAACAAACCTTAACCAATGAATGTTGCAGTGTATGCTTAGTCTCCTAGGATATGTTTAGGATGAAATTGTTAGTTGGGTTCCAGGTAAACGGCAGGATGAAAGGCGAAGGAAGGTAAAATGGGGATTTAGGCGGCTGAGCTTGGAACAGATTTAACTGAGGAGAAAGGACCTCAGTTCATTGTGCAAGCAGGTCGCAAGAACCCAGATTAACTTAAGAGACAGTAATGAGGTTAGAGTGGAGCTAAATATAACCCGAGGAATGCGTTATAGGTTCAAGGTTTAATAAAAGTAAAAATATGGATACAGAACATAAAATATTCACTTTCTTGAAGTAAAGATGATGTCACGGAGAGCTCTGTTGCTTTAAAGGTTGTATTTGTTCGAGATCCGCAGCGTTGTTGGACATAAATTTAGAGGGAACGTGAAGAATGGAAATAAGCCAAGATGAAGCTTTAGTTGGGACGTCTGTGATACTTACTGAACTGTTTCCGTTATGGAGGACTAGAAATACTCTGATCAGTTTTGTGGACAATTTCCCATCCCCCATTTTCTTTCTCCTTTGAAGCTTTGATCTACAAATTCCTGTGTTACTTAATTCAGATTCTCTTTACAAACCTTAGTGTGAGAATGTATAAGAACAGTAATAAAATATATTCTCTAGGGTCATTTCTAGCTTATGCAAATGACTGTAAGCTAGAAATGTCTGTTGATAGTGGACACTTGGTGCTAAAAATTAAATAAACTAATAAGCAAAGTGATCACTGATTAATTAAATTAGAACCAGAAGTAGTTGTACAGTGTTTGCGTGTGAGCATTAGCTGTGAAACAGGGTTTTACTAGAACAGATATTATGTAGTTGGCATTTTGTCTGTACCATGCTAACAGTTAGCTTGGTTAGCATGGCTAGTAGTAATAGAACAACAGCGTGATGCTAAAAACGGCTAACTTTTTATCTTCTTCTCTCAGTAACAGCATCCACCTACAAGAGTGATATTTGTACGACATAGTGGTGTTTATGATGTGTTCACTGATCAGAAAAAAATAGATTTTTGGGTTTACGACTGGCCTGGTAGGTGATTAGTGTTGATGAGTGGTCAACAGCCGACTCATCTGTGTCTAAAGTGTGCTTTGTAAGTATGGAGTCCGTTTATCCCCCCCCCATATTTGATGTTCGGTAGGATTGCCCAGACCAGAACTGCACTGTCATCAAAATTTTGTTCCTTTTGTTTTTCAGAGCCATTAACGCAACTCTTTGTCAAAGTCTATTATTTTTCCTTAGAAAAGAAAACCTTCTGTTGTGAAACGTTTCACACAAGCTTGTGTCCCATTACATGGTGTAAATATTTCATGATTTACAAAAAAACATCCTCATCGCTCCAGATGACCGCTAACACTGCAGCTCCTCTCAGCATCATGGGCTTTGAGCCAACGCACACGCACGCATGCACATGCACACACACACACACACACACACACACACACACGCTCAAAAAAGCACCCATACACAGCCATGAAGGTGGCTAGACTTGATGCTCGGGGCCGTTTCGGCCACCGTCAGCAGATGAGTTGTCCTGGGAGTTCTTCTGTGCTGATTAGATGTGGGTTTATGTAGCGTCTAAATCTGGATGACTCTCATTGAACCTCTTACACTTATGTTACGCTCGGCTCTCCTGCATCTGTGACTTTGTTTTTAGAGTTTTCTCTTGGAATAACACAATTTCATTTACAATCATAATGGTTTTAGCTTAGACTTTCCCCCCCTCCTCCTTATCCTTATCCTCTCTCTCGTCTTCCTCCTTCTGTGTCCACAGCTGAATTCCTCGGGTCTCCTGGGGAACACCGAGCTGAACGTCGCCATGGCGATTGCTTGTTTTCTGGCCCAGGAAGGTGCTGACATTAGCTACGCCAACCACAAGGGCAAGAGTCCTCTGGACTTGGTGGGAGACGGCACCATGATGCAGCTCATTAAGAACTTCTCTGAGAAGCACAGGTACGTGTTCAGAAGTCGGCTACGATCTACGGGCTGACATTCAGTTCAAATACAGGGCAACTACAAGGTTATTTTGGTTTGAGTATAAAATTAACCATAAAAGAACCCCAAAAAACTTGCATTTTCATAGGCTAGCAAGTCAGGCTACAAATGAAATGTAGCTCATAGAGAAACGTTTTTATGCAAACAAATCCATGTCAGAGTTTGACTTGGATAAAAAATTGTATTTTTTATGTTGACGTGTTAGTCGTTTCAGACGAGCTCTCACGGCTGTCTGCTGTCGTTCAGGTTGCAGCGCCTGCAGGCCATCACCTGTGGGCAGGGCCTGAGCAGTGCGAGCCTGCGGCGGGTCCACACAACACCCAACACCATGACCAACCTGGTTTTTCCCACGCCGGCCGGTCCCAGTGAATGCCTCATCTGTTCTGAGCTGGCTCTGCTGGTTCTGTTCTGCCCCTGCCAGCACAGCGTGGCCTGTGAAGGTACGTCTGCAAGCTGAGGGGCAGCGGGACGACCATCTTCTTCTATGTACTCCAGACCGACTGCGGATCCTTAAAAAGTCATAAATTCATGTATCTAGAATTAAGGCCTTAACGTTATCCTTAAATTTGTTAATCATGTGTCTTAAGTTTTGTCTTGGCAGGATTATTTAATTGTATATTCTATGTGTATGCTTATTTTTCTCATGGGATGTTTCTGACAGGCAAAAGGTTGAGTCACACAGACATCTTCATTCTGTGACTCAATGCTAACACGCCCTCGCTGGCTAGCTAGCTTTTTTTGCGTCTGTGATGGGTAAATATAAATTTATGGCCAGAGCAGGTTTGTACATTTCTGAGGAGATATAGATAGACCTGTCACAGTAACACATTTTGCTGGACGATAAATTGTCCCACAAGTTATTGTGATAAATGATAATGTTGTTTTGAGACAGTTTTCAAGGAATATAAAGTAATATAATGGTAATGGCATAAAAAAAATGCAAGAACACATTCTCAAAGATCAATAAACTTTAAATTTTAATGAACATTTAACTGGAACATCTTTTAAACATCCAAAATTAAATAAACAAAAAATCAGAAATGGCAAATAAAATGACCTATAAAGTCTCTGAAAACAAAACTGTACTTCATTAAAAGGGCTAGTTGAGACCAAAGCACCAGACTGAAGGCTCTTCTCATCCTGTTTTTTTTTTAGGAAGAGAGAGAGAAAATAGAAAAAATATAAATCATGCAAATGGAAATTATTGAGCTGGTTTTAATTTATCATGCTATTAACTGATTTCTGTTTTCTGCCACAGGCCTGGATATATGATCTTTGTTATTGGTCTCAAAAAGTCTTAAGTTTGAGTTGGTGAAACCTGTAGAAACCCTGTAGTCAGTAACACTAACTTTGTCTTAACAGAATGTGCACATCGCATGAAGAAATGCATCAAATGTCAGGTCACGATAACCAAGAAAATACGACAAGGTAAGAAGAGATTAGAGACTTTTATTTTCTGGTATGGTACGTGTCAGAGCTAGGTTCTGTCCATTCCTGGAATGGAGTGGCACAAACGGCCTGACCAGTCTATAATAACACTGCAACAACACATAAAACTCTGGATTAAAACTGGGTATCGTCAATGATTTTGACTCCGCAGACCAAACCGAGGTGGACTGCAGCCCTGGCACCGAGAACTCTGAGCAGCACAACCTGCTGGAGCAGCTGCAGTCCCGCTACAGGCAGATGGAGGAGCGCATCACCTGCCCCATCTGCATCGACAACCACATCAAGCTGGTCTTCCAGTGCGGCCACGCCTCCTGCATCGACTGCAGCGCCGCGCTCAAGACCTGCCCCATCTGCAGGCAGACCATCCGGGAGCGGATCCAGCTGTTTGTCTGAGCTCCAGGTTTGTGTCCTCCTAGGTCCGCTGGCCCACAGACCCCAGGAAGGGCTATGGAGGCACGCCGCTCTCGTATCCTCCCGTCTCTGGCTGCCGCACCTCACCAGCGGCGATCAAACATTCGTTCGAACGTTTTTTTTCTAAAGAGACGCTGCTGTAGATCGCTCAGAGTTTGCCGTTACATTTTTGGTTCATTTCCATCTGGAGCAGCCCAGGAACATTGCTTTAATTTAAATTCCTGCTGCAGGACAGACTCCGAGCCGAGCCCAGGAGGAAACGCACGAGGCAGAGTGGACGTGACGCCTCCCTCCATTTTGAATCCTCTTGATTGATAAAGGAGCGATGGGGAAGAATAGAAAAAAAGTGTTTCCTCCTCATGTTTCCTGTTGTACTTTGTCCGACCCTTTTGCTGCTTTACGTGGATGTCTGTTACCCATCATCCTCTGTGGTTTTCTGGCCTCTTTTGTTTACATGTCTGCACAGAGACCGGTTGTCCTGGCGCTCCTTGGCCCGTGAAGTACATCGCTCTCATTTACATCCATCTCGTAATTCTCAATGTAAGGCTCTGCAGAGAGAGGGTATAGCTGAAAGCTTTCTATGTAGACCCCAAAACACTTCTGTCTATATGCAAAGGGAGACAGAAACTATATATGCATGAGTATTTGCATATTATCCAGCTGAAAACGACTTGTTCTGTCACAGATAAACTAGGGTTTTGTTTTACTCTAGGGGTTACGCTTGTGGTTGCCAACATACCTTTGACTACAAAGTTTTATTTATGTGTGAAAGGTGTTTTATTTTATTTTTTATGTTTTTTGCTTGGCAAAAAATGTGTTTTTGTTTCTACTGAGGTTTAACCCAAGCCTACGTCTGCTACTCAGGGTATCGCATCTTGGAAGCACTCGGAATATCCATAAATGTTTTAAGAGCCCTTTCCCAGACTCTCACACTAACACCATTACAGCGCTTTGTATCGATTTGTTCCGGTGGATCACCAAGAGGAAGAAATGTAACAAAAACAAATAGATCTTGGCATTAATGACTAACATGAACACAAAACGTGTAATTCTCAGTTGAAATGTGGACGGTCGCGGAGCAGATTCTGCGAAGAGACTTCAGTTCCCTTCAAAACATACAAAACGAAGATGTGAGAAGGTGCAAACTCTTGCAAATGGAAACAAAAAAAAAAAAAACTGGATCCAAATCTGCATTAACATTGATTATCTTTTCAGTCTAAAGCATCTCAAGTTTCATATTGACACACATTCTATCTGGTTCACAAGAAAACAGGCCTCACTAATTACGACAGTTGAAATGAATATCATTTCTTCACATTTGTTATTTCTGCTTCATACTTGTGATGAGTTTAGCTGATCGTGAGCACAGCATTGAGGGTCTGCAGGCGGCCAGCAGCTGCTCCACACACCATTACCAGGCTACTAGCATGGTGCTGCATAAATGTGAAACGTAGAGAACGCTACATGTGCTTTTCATGAGTTATTTCATAAAATGTTGACCTTATCCAGCTCCAAAAATATAAAAGACATAAAATACTGAGGAGCAACCTCATAAGCTGTTACCCCGATTGATGACCTCCGATCTATAAAATTCTCGACGTGCGGTAGATCGTCTTTTATTGAGTTTACTCAACATTTTTAACCTAGAAACTCTTTTTTATAGAGAACAAAACACCTGTTCTGTCATTTTCGGCGACAACGGCGCTGATTAGGGCAACATGATTTATAGAACAAAGATTTTTATTTAGCTCTGCTCTTTTAGTAAAGTTGGGTCAGGTCAGTGGGGGGGGGGGCATTTCTGTGTCTGACAGCGTGGAGTTTGCTCAGACCGCTCAACTATACGCTTTGACATACCTCTACAAGTCTGTGAATGTGAGCCACTTGGACCTTGCAGATGAGCGAGTTATTTTTCTTGATGGTTGCACAGCCAGCAGCACAGATGATGATGATCCCGTCATCATCAGGCCTCATGGTAAAACCGTCCAGGCAGTAGGATTTAGGCTTATTGCAGATACATTGAGTGCAGTTACTATGAAGGTGGTTTGAAATGCGTCATAGCGTTCGTTTAGGGTTGTTTCCATGTGGTTGGGTTGTCCAAACATCCCCGATCAATCTGAGAAGGTTCCACACAACTTTATGTCCGATTGTGTTGTTCTGCTCCTTAGGGTTTGTCACTGGATTCCCCCTATTTAAAGAGGCTCATGCTATTTTTTATTTTTTTTGTTTAGTTTTTTTTTGGGGGGGTATGTTTTAGGTTTTATCAGGTGTATCGTGCAATGTGTAATCACACACACACACACACACACACACACACACACACACACACACACACACACACACAAACAGTATTTGTGTTTCTGTCTACGGTTCGTACCTTGTCTTACCAGCGGAGTATTTCAGAAGCAAGCCTCCCCTTTTTTCCTCCTCTGGAGTTCTGGATTGTACATCAGCTTCGTCGTTTTAATAATTTTAGTTTTTTTTTCGTATGTTGATGTGTTTTCTTTGAAGGGCTTATGCATATCTGACAACAACAAAAACTCTAGTCTAATTTTAAGTTAATCTTTTTTCTTTTTTTTTCTGGAACTTCCAGAGACAGGAGGGTTTTTAATGTCCTCAGTGTCTCCCTGACGGTGGGAGAGACAATGTTAAAGATGTACATTTGAATGTTGGTAGGGGAGATAATGTATCCTGTCTCACGCTGCCTTTTTTTTTAATGTGTGAAGAAAAACTAAAACGTCTAAAGAAAAAAAAAAAGAGCTAGGATATCCTTGTGGTTTATGATGAGGAAATGACTTTTACATCAGTGCCAAATCGCATGAGGATGAGCATGAACATGAACATGAACATGAACATGAACATGCACGCCCGTTAATACACAGATGCACTCTTCTACCCCACTGCCCCTCTCGACATCAGACGGGGAGGCAGATTATTCTAGCGGTGTGTTACAAAGCGTAGCGTCAGGTTCGACTCCGGATCGGACGTATTCTCTCTCTCTCTCTCTCTCTCTCTCTGTTTGTGGTGTTAGCCTTCTAGCTTCAGCAGTCGCACTCTGAAACCTCTACGACAGAAGACGCTACTCATTCCCAAAACGTGATCCGTTCTGAGCTTTTTACAACTATATATTATATATAATATATATATTTATATTTTGTGAGACATTATCAATCAAGGGACATGTTTCTTATAGAAGTTTCAGTATTTAAAGATTGTCCTTTGGTGTTCTGAGCTGATGGGTTTACAGGTGAGGCAATAATGTTTAAGAAAAAAGAAAAACGTGTGAAATTGTTTTCATTTCCTTTTGCTCCTTTTTAAGGAGTCTTGCTGTGAGCGCGACGAAACGGTTTCTGTACAAAAGTTATTAATAAAGCAGCAAAATGTTACTGTCGGTGTTTGTACAGTTCGACTCTTGGAGTTCTGATGTTGGCCTTACTGTCCATTCCTCCTCTGTTGATGTTTTTTGTTTCTTTTTTTTTCTCAGTTGAATTCTGTACAAAAATATTTTGCAATAAATATGGAACTGTTTTTTAAAGACTGGATCTTTTGTTTTATTACAGAAACATCATTTAGCTGAAACAATAAGGTTTTAAAAGTATTTTATGAGATTTTTTTTCCCTCAGTTTTGAAAATGAATTAGAAATCAGTTTACCCAGAAACTTGTGAATAATGAGCAACATGTTGACTTTCTGATTGAAACTGGAGCTGAACAGAATATTTCATGTTGGTGTAAAACATCCTCAGTTCGTACTGCATTTGGACCAATCAGGCTTTTACTGACAGAAGCAGATTTGTGATTTTCCTCGACCTTCTGGTTCTGACTTCGACAGACTCAGATTTTTTCTTTTAGGGACTTTCACTAATGAATGAGGAAAAGGTTTGTTTCCAGTTCTCTTGTTTTGAGTCTAACAGGAAGTGAAGGAATTACAAATTATTTTCATCCATGTCCCACACCTTTACCTACTCATTTTTAAGGTGGTGTTTCAACCACTTACAGACTGAAACTCTGGGTTTTGATACTTTTAATGAGCAATTAAAAAAAAAAAAATCCCTTTTTTACCAATCAAGTGTATCTCTAACCAGAATACATATTACTTTTTGTTTCCTTCACAAGTTCTTATTTTACAGTTTGTTTTTATGAATAAACCTCTTTGAGGCAACAGTAACTTACTTATTTTAAATTAATGGGCTATTGTAACAAAAGCTGTGCAATGCACCTTTAATTGAAATTCTTAGTTTTTCAGAAACTTTGTGTCTGAAATGAAAATCTTCTACATATTCCTGAAATGATGAGTCACTTTTTCAATGAGAAATTGCATGTTTGACAAAATAATGGTTCTCTATTTGATTTATTATCTGGCTGTAAATGTCATAAATACATAAGAGTATTTATGACAAGTAGATTTACAATGTTTGCTTATTGCTGTTCTCGGCCTCCAGAGGCGTTAAAGAAAGCGGTGGGAATGCAGATGGTTCCTGCGATCTGTTCATTTTCTTTCTGTTATTTTCTATATGAACTTTGATTTTTATGCTTTTGGCAGCTTAACTGTAATGGTGAGCTGGAGCAGCTTCAGGGCCGCCACTAAGCATCCACCGAAACATGATGTAAGCTGGCAAGTGGCCTCGAACTCACTGTCATTTCAGACTTGTGTTAGTGTGTCAGAATGTGTTTGAAAGTCCTATATTTAGTCAACTCTTTCCTGATTTGTTTTAAGTTTGTGATTCTATTCCATGCTAGAGGGATTCTTTTTTTTTTTTTGTTTATTTTAAATAAGATATGATTCCTGATCCCTTTTCTCCTTTTTCTTAGGAGGAAACAAAGATTTTTCATTTACAACTCGTGTGCAAGATGCTCTCTCAACAACAGACATATAGAAGATCTGCAGCAACTTGCTGCAAACCTTGAAGGATGTTGGCTTCCTCAAGAAGTCCAGTCTGCTCCGTCTCTTCTCATAGACGGCTTCACTGTTGCATCTCCAGTCCAGTCTGCTGTCCAGGCAAACACTGAGATGTTCATATTCCTCAGCCATCCTCCACTTCTTCTCCCATGATGGAAATATGGTTTGACCTGACCCTGTTCCACCTGAAATATTGCTTAACATCTTTGAAATCTTTCTAACAACTTCATATTTATTTATAAATGATCATGTTGCTTATTATATGTGGAGGTAATGATTGACACTGGCTCCCTAATGCCATTTTGTGTTCTTTATGATTTTAACTTTTTCTTCTTCTTCTTCTTCTTCTTTTTTTTTTACATTAGAATGTTTTCTGATTTCAAAAGTTATTTAGTTCACTTGTGAACTCAGGAGAAAAACAGTAGGGGAGAGCTCCACCTAGTGGTGGATAAAAATACTAAGTGTGAACTGAGACTTCCTGTTGTGTGGATCTAAATAACGAACCAACAATCTACACTCTCCTTAATTAGCTTAGCACATTTTACATTTGTTCATACATTCACAATGTTTTTTTAAAATTATTGTTGTTATTAACAATCAGCTCTCTGTGTTGTTTATTAAAAAAAATCTCTAAATTAAACAATGAGAGGGACATGTCTCCTACAGAGGGCGCACTTGTTTACAGAACTGAAGCCATATTATGACGTGAGCTTCAACCTGACAACCCTGCGTTTATCTCCCATCACCAAAACATTCACAGAGCGAAAAGCTACACACCGTTTCCTCAGTTTCAACATTTCACATCTTTTTTGACTGTAAATAAAGCAGTTATGTCAAACTGCAATTCATTATAAATCTTGAGGCCTGAGAGTTACGGTCTAGAGTGCAATACTGTAAAATACTTTTAGATCTTGACTCACAGCTGTATGAATTATAAAGTAATTCATGTTTTTGTGTTGAAGGATGTTGCTAAAAGGTCCAAACAAGTACCTCTTTAAAAGTAGCTCATTTGGTTGATTGTGGACACAATTTCTCCATTTGGTTGTGATTTTTTTATTTTTTATTTTGGCAGATATTTAGCTTTTTAAGCCTTGCTGCCTGTTAGGGGTGTTTGGTCAGACGTTCCTGTTCCCTTACGGGAAAATTCACCTGCATGAATAGAAATACAAGAAGAGGAAATCATTTCATTAGGTGGTTCCAGGCTAGAACAGAACTGAAAAAAAAAACAAAAAAAACAAGCTCCTGTTTTAGATAGATGTGTCTCAGAGGGTTGTTATTTATTTAACAACTCTTAGGCACCCTCAGTCAGATTCCCTACAGGCGACAGAACCAGTGCGATAGAGAGACCAGCAGACAAAAGTTTACATGTCGGTTTTCTGAATCACAGCTGAATAAATCAGCTCCTTGAAACGTTTCTGTTTACCTGACTCACTTCTTGAGAAAGGTTTGTCTTTATCTCCACAGGCTACCATTTTGAACTAAGCAATGACCTGACCAAACTTTAGTGAGGTTTCAAGGTTTTTAAGCTCAAACACTGGCATTGGCCTTCCTGTGTGTTCTCTCTCCAGGTACACCGGCTTCCTCTGACCGTTAGCTTATGTGCTTTTACGTGAACATGGTTGTTCGCCCTGTGAAAGACTCTTGCTGTACAGTGTGTGTCCCATGTCTCTCCACTGAAAGGGTTAAAAAAAAAAGCATTAAAAACTGATGTATTATTTTCTTAATCTCTCAAGGCAATGGGTGTTGAATCCATTTTACTATCCTAAACATTTGGGAACCTAACCAAGCAGTCCAGGTTAAACCCGTGACCCAGTTTTGTTTTTGCTAAGCCCACCCTGGGTCAGTTCCTATGTAACATTGGGCTGGATTAACAAAATAACCTATAATAATAATTATAATAATTAATCAGTTTTTAAAACAACGGGCTAAAATAGATCGCATCAAAATTGAACTGAAACAAATGTGTAAAATGTAAAATTTCGGTAATTTACCAATGTGCAAAACTTCTTGACCACTTTAAAACATTAATAGATCATTTTGTGTGGATGGCTTCTTCTTTTATTTTTTAATTGCACACATTTCCAGTTTAGATGGAAAGCAAAGTTGTCTTTTTAACAAAGCTGTGTTTCTGTGTCATTGGTTGACTAAATACGTCATCCTTAAAAGTTCAATTTTTTCAATTATTTTAATTACCATATTACTTTGCCTCCCCTCTGGGTGAGGGGATGCAGTCTCAGTGACCGGTCTAAACGTTTGGGCGGGTTGTACTGAAAGTTGTGAATTTCTCTTTGGGGATTAATAAAGTATATTAATTCATTCATTTATTTTGGTAATGATGGGGAAAAGTCACATTAGGGATTTCTAAGGTTACCCGTCAACGCTTCCTCCCATTCCAGTTGTTCGGTTCTCGGCAGGTTGGCCAGGACTCCAGTCAGAGCTGTTGTGGTGGTGCTGTGACAGAACAGGTTAAGCTACAGTCAGTTTTTTTTTTTTTTTTTCTAAACGTCCTCATTGACCTCTGAAGGTCTCTGTGTTGCTCCTGGAAAGTCTTCAGATTCTCTGGATTGTTTACTGAAAATGCATATCAGGATAAAACTGTGGATTTGATTTATTTAAGTTTGCTGTTAATGGTGGAACTGTCAGTTTGCTCCTCAGCCTCTCATTTGCTGCTCCTGTAGCTTTAGCTGGAGCTGTTACAAAAAGAAAACAAGCATAGCAGCTTTCAACAACCACAGATTTTTTTTCTTTCTTTTTTTTCAGGAACAGCAAATTCCAGGTAGATGACACAGGAAACACAGCAGCTTCTCCTCTGTCCTCCCACAGCACAACAACATGGATAATTAACCTTGCATAAAATTATGTTAAGAAAGAAAATACAACAGATGGTGACAGACGATAATTACAGCCATTTAGGAAGACAGGACGTTGTTCTAGTTTCACTACTTTAATAAGAGACGCACTAAAGACTAAATTATTCCAAATTTGGACTTGGTGGGGAAAAACAGATTTGGGTCTTAGAGCAACACAAGCAAGCAGTCACTAACTCTGGATGGCATAGATGAAGCATATATTTTCTGACCCAGAATTATGCAAAAATACTTTGATTTTTGACTTCTTCTTTTTTTTTAACTCTTAATGTATTCGCAAACTGAATGAGCTCCACAATGATTTCCAATGAAGTTTAAAATGAAAATTCATACATTTTCATTTTGTCTCATATAATTTGTGTGTCCAAAGGCGAAGGAATGAAATGCAGTTTGGAGTAGCAAGAAAATTGCACACGTATGTGTATTGTTCATGATGTGGCCCTCATGATATTGTATGTATAATGGGATGAATGGTGTTTTTTAAATTGTGTAAAAACATTCAGCTTGTGTCAGCTCACAGTTTCTACCTCTTTGTCAGGATTTTACTGTCCTGGCAGAGTGTTTTCTGCACCTATCACTCAATTTACCATGTTGATCTGAAAGCTCACACATCTATTGCTATATTCGGACAGCAGACAAATACAACAAAATATAATTTTCCTGCCCATACGTGACCCATGTCTGACTTGTTGTTGTCTTTTTTTTTAATTTTTTTATGGCGGTTTGAGCGACCCAATTCCAGTCTTTGAAGCAACAATGAATTTAAAATGTGAGGAGAAACATTTCTAGATGTTTTCATGGAAACCAAGATGTGTGGAACTGTCGGCAGCTTTGGGTTCTGTCTCCGCCGGATGAAACCCGGTGTTTGCACTGTCACTAAATGCATGTTGTCCCATCAACAGGTCGCGCTGAGTCGACTGCGTCTCCGTCCCAATACAAACAACAACACGCTCATCATCAGCAGCCAAACGTTGCTGTAGATTTGCTGATGCGTTGCTGCATTATTTAGTTGCCAGGGGTTGTTGCTGTTGTGTAGGGAAGCAGACTGTTACCTAGGCGACTGTCAAGCTTTACAAAGCTCATGTAAGGAAGGTAGCTAAAACATGAAATCGCTTTTGCAAAAAATGACTTTAGGAAGGTGGCAAAGTTACAGAACATCAATAGGTGGTTTTATACATACATTCCTCGGCGTGTAACTCTATGTTCCTAAAACAAAACTTCTGTAATGTCATCATTTTATAATTTTTTGTATTGTTTATATTCATACAAATCTCAAAATATTATTACAACTCACCTGGTATGAGCCTATGAATGAGTCCAAATGAAGTCCGCAACACATGCATTCATTAAAAAACAAAAAAACAAAACATAAACAATAAAAAAAAAAATCTGTTCCCCTCTGTAAGCCCTTTGTAAAATCTGGCTCTGGTGGCGTTATGCACGTAGCCGAAAAATGAGTCAGATCTGTAGAAGAAGAAACAAAACCACTTGGTGAAGGAATCTGTTATTTTCTCCTGAGGAGACGGAGGAGGCTGAACAAGTTCAGCTCCTGGATGCCCATTTCTTCACCGTACTTGGTGGCATTTCAGTGTGATTCTCTTAGAATAGCAGATTATCTTTTTTTTAAAGTATATATTTGTTTTAAATTTTTTTGTTTGCACTGATTTTCTTTGCTTATTTAATTAATCTTCT